ATATTTGTCAGGTGAACCCGCCCATGCTGCGTGCATTGGTTCTTCGATGGCTTGTTGTTTCAGGTTGACTTTCTGAAGCCGTGCTGCCAAAGCTATGATGATTTCCAACAGAAGTCCATGGCTGAGATTCTTCATTTTCGGATTTTCCGCCACCTTGATAACAGAATTGAAAATTTCAGACAGAAAACTTTGATGAAAACCTTCATCGTTTACTTGAAGGAATCTAAAAGTTTAGCAATGGTAATGACAGAAAAATGGTATTGGCTTCAGCAAAATGAGTCTTTAGAACAGTTTTGTTTTGCATATCACTTTTCACATGCTTTACGAAGAACACACAACTTTTACTTTGACATTGAACTTTGAAATCTCAAAAATATGGACGTATGGGTAAGCACATTGATAGTTCTCATAAATTTAAACAATGCAAGCTTTGTATAAAGGCCTTTAACTAACTCAAAGCAGGGCATGGTAAAGCAAAGCCTAACAAAACACTGTGCTTTGATGAAATTCTAACTGTGGTCGGACTGGGTCAAGCTTTGAATTCGTATAACTTCCATGAGGAGAATGAAGTGTTTAATTTCCTGTTTGAACAGGGTTGGTGATGCTGGTCAGATATCCCTTTTCCTCATACCTTGGTGAAGTTCCTGACAATGATCTTCAGGGCGTGATCCTTCATGTCTTTAGCGCCGACGCGGTCGGCCGCGTCTAGTATCTGCACCACGTTCTGCACAGAGATGTTAATCTCCAGGTTCTCCTTGCAGAATGCCTGCAGGCGGTTATTGTAGAAACTGTAATAGTCTGGTGCCGAGAACAGATATCTGAAAAAAAATGCATTAAGGAGCAACAACGTGGCTTGTATTTAAATGAACACACAGCCAGTGACAGCAACATTCCGCGATTCAAAAACTACGTCCTGGATAAAATACTTTCCAACAGACCCAGCTGGGCTTATGTCTGAAAGAGGTAGAGCCAGCTGTACTGCTGTCTAAAGTAAAATAATTTAATAATAATAATAAAATGATAAACTTTTGACCCCTTCAAAACCATCACAGATACAGCTGAGCTTACAAGGAGAACAGCAGTATAAGAAACTTCACATTTCAACCTTTTGCACCTTTTTGCCTTTGATGAGGGTCATTCATCTTTTTGCATCACTTTTATGACCAAGAGCAGAAAAAAAAAAGGATAACGGAAAATTGTCATTTTTCATCAACTTTTAAAAAG